TTAACCTTAGTAGGTGAGCAATGCTTTTTGATCTTCATTCACAACTTAGATTTAAGTTTTTAGAGGCCTAAAAGATGGACTGGGAATTGATATTTCACTATGCTTCCGGTCCTTGGTAGCCTCTAAATAGTGTCTCAAAATTCTCTGTACCATTATCTAGGAATACCAACGAATAAGATCTGGAATTGTATTCACAAGACACAGGAAGCTAATGTGGAATGAATTGCAAGGGCCAACATTAAGTCTGTACAGTGTGTTTCAATTCTCTTAGTCTTCTTAACGTGGTTTACTAAATGTGGATGCTGGATACTAAATGTAAGCTGGATATTTCTCTCTCTCTCTCTCTCACACACACATCCAATTTTCCCTGTATAAAAGAAAGACAGAAAAGGTCCCACTTCCCTTCTTGCCCCACCCTCTGTGGCCCCCCGAAACAGACTCTCCAGGTTTAGACATGTCATTCTCAGACCTACCCAGTGACTAGACGACAACAGCTCACTCTGGACACTGGCGCAGTTGTGCTGAACTTTCCCTCCATGAGAGAACCAGTGGAAACTGACTGAGCTTCAGTTGAGAACGTCACCATCTCAAAGATTGCAGGTGACATGATAGATGCAACTTCACACATGTAAGCGTAGTGTGTGGACAGAAATCTTCCCTGTGTGTGTGTCCCCTCCTCTTGCTCCTGCCTCTCACAGCCACTCCAAAGCAGGAAGGAAGGGAGCAGGTCACAACCTTTAGAACAATGACATGGCTACAGAACAGGACAAAAACTGGTTAGAACCAACTAGGTCGAAGATGGCAGAAGATTTGATTTCTAGTAGACCTGGAGCCTCATTAATATGCTCATTATAATACATTAGCATATGCTAAACAACACATTCACCAGCACCATGATAGTTTTGAGGCTAACCATGGTTATTGTTGTTCTTTAGTCACTAATTGTGTCTGACTCTTTTGAGATCACAAGGACAGTAGCCCACCAGGCTCCTCTGACCATGGAATTTCCCCAGGCAAGAATACTGGAGAGGGTTGCCATTTCCCTCTCCAGGGCAACTTTCCAATACAGGGATCGAACCCACATATCTTGCATTGCAGGCAGATTCTTTACCACTGAAGAAAAGGATCAGCCACAAGGGAAGTTTGAGGCTGACTGTACAAGGCCAAAAAACGGGTAGTGGCTCCATTTCTGCCATTTCTGGAAATCTGCCTCTTCCCCAAAATAACTGGAAAAATATCCCCATTCACTAGCCTATGAAATTATCCAGCCTATAGAAACTAGCCATGCCTTATTTCAAGGCTCTCTTTCTCACCTTCTGAGAGAAGGCTTATACTCTTTCTATGGAGTGTGTTTCTCTCTAAATAAATCCACTTCTTACCTATCACTTCATCTTCAAATTCTTTCACAACAAAGCAAGAACTTTAAATTCATTCAATGGCAACAACTCCACCTGAACCGCCCAGCTCTGCCATCAAAAAGGAGGTGGGCTTATTTTTCACTGGCTTTGTTCCCATTCAGACCCCAGACAGAGTGTCTAGCTATATTTGACTTAACCTGATTTTACTTAGAAAGACAAAGTTTGTAAATCAGAATACTCTTCTAGTTTGTTTTTGCTGAGTGGTAAAGTTATCTTTGAAATCATGATCACCTTTACCATCTAAACTGTAAACAAGTATCAGGATGGGAACAGTTTCTTTCATTTCCAGAGGAAGAAAAACTATCTCAAGGAAATTTGATTTCAGGCACATCTAATTTATTCCATTGCTTCATCTAATTTATTCCAATCTCCAATAATTAGATCAAAATAGACTGAACTCTTAAGAAATAGTCACACAAAGATATTCATCAGCCACATTTATCTGCATAAACAATAGTATACTAAAACCAGGTCATGTGCAGAAAGAGACTCAGGCTTTGTAATGACTGTGTCGCTGATGATGCATTACTATAGGCAATCACCAAATCTTTCTCATGATACAGCCTCAAGAGCAGTGGCTCTAAATTGAGGTCAACTTCAGCCATTAAATTCAATCCCTGGGTCGGGAATATCTCCTGGAGTAGGAATTGGCAACCCACTCCATTTTCTTGCCTGGAAAATCCCATGGACGGAGGAGCCTGGGGTAGCAAAGAGTCAAGACACGACTGAGCGACTTCACTTTCACTTTTTTTTCAGCTACTAAGGCAATGTCTGTAGACATTTTTTGTTGTTATGGCTAGGGGAGGGGGCAAACTGGCATCTGGCAGGTGGAGGCCAGGAATGCTGCTAAATATTGTCCAATCCACTGAAGGGCACCAGAATATGTTACCCCAAATATCCCACTTTGGCATAAGGATTATTTTGAGCTAAAGACAACTGAGAACCGGCAGAGGCAAGGAAAGCTTTTTAATCTCTTCTTAACTGAGTAAAAATAAAAATTTCCCCATTTGTAAAGGAAATTTACATCCATAAAAGGAAATTTCCACTTGTAAAGGTGTCTCTGAACCAGGAAAAGAGCCACAGCTGGAGACAACTCTTATTGTCATCATCTGCATAAGACAACCCTTGTTTATGATATATTTCCTCCCCTTCCCTTCCTAGAACTTAATGCCCTCTGCCCAGAATCTCTAAACTCCCTTCTCTTTGTCTAAGATGGTATATAAATCTCAATCATCTCGTCACTTCCTAAAGACTCATCTTTGTGAAACTTCTGTTCAGATGTACGTAATTAAACGGGTTTTATTTTTGTCATTAATCTGTCTTTTCTCAGCTTGATTTGCAAGCCCCAACCACTGAATTTAGAAGTGTATAGAAAAAAAGTTTCTCCTCCCTACAGAAGAGGACAGTCTTCCACAACAAAAACTTATCCAGCTTCTAATGTAAATAGTACCAAGGTTGAGAAACTCTGTTCTATATTGACAGGTAGAAATCTAAAGCACTAAAAGTCAGTGAGGTGTTTGGCAGCTTAGTAGTGTAAGTGAAGTCAAACCAATTCTCCTTTATGACTGTGAGTCTTGGAAAAAATACCAAGAACTACAGTCCTTCAAACTATGCTCAATAAAATGACTCTGCAGGATCAAAAACAGGGTTTTTATTCCTATGTCCACCAGCTGCAGAATTGAGAGTGCTACACCGCTGCTCTGCTAGTAGGGCCCCTATTTTGGTTAAACTACAAGGAAGAAGAAATCATGAAAGATTCACTAAATTACAGTGCCAGTGACCCCTGTGTTAAGGGTGTTAGGAAATTAAGGGACAGAAAAATGTTTGAATAAAAAGGTATTCGATAGTCCACAGGGTAGAATTAGTGCCAGTATGAATCAGAGGAGGGCTCTGTGGGGCCTTCCTGGGTACAACTTCTTTCCTTGTCTCCATTTTCCTGTTCGTAGGGTATAGGCTTCATTCAGCCTCCTTGACCTTCCCTGAATTCCAAAGGGCAGATTCAATTTCTCATCAGAGAAGGGAAGGAATGCAGAAACTAAGGAGGACCCATCAAGAAAATACAGTGCAGTGATTAAAGCAGGATCCTGGTTCCTTCTGAAGGGACATACATAACAATATGCTTGAGTTCTTCTGCAGGAACAAAGGGCTTCCCAGGTGGCATTAGTGGTGAAGAACCTGTCTGCCAATGCAGGAGATATAAGAGACGTGGGTTCAATCCCTGGGTCAGGAAGATTTCCTGGAGAAATCTGCACTGCCAACCCACACCAGTATTCTTGCCTAGAGAATCCCAAGGACAGAGGAGCCTGGCAGGCTACAGTTCATAGGGTCACACAGAGTGACTATGTGACTAAACACGCACGCAGAAACTAAACGCCCCACCCCGGTGGGGGATGGGAACCTCAAGGAGAGCACGAGGTTCTTGGAGCACAGCCTTGTTACCTCACCAACAGCCAGTCAGAAGAAAGTCTGCATGTGTGGGAAGATAAAGAAGACTCTGACCTCGTCCCCAAATGATCCTCCTTTTAAACACTTTAATGGTTGAGCGGCACCTTTGGAGTTGGTTTTTGGACATGAGTCCACCACCTCCTCACATTGCCAGCCTTATGAATAAAGCAGGCTTTCCATTCCAATCAACACTTGTCTCTGGAGTGTTGACTTTCAAGCAGTGAGCAGCCTAACATGAGTTTGGTAGCAAACAGGCTTGGTGAGAAGCAGGTATAGCTGCAGATCCAGAGACTGTCCTCCTGAATAAGGAGTGGGCAGGAAGCATCTGCCTGCCTCCAGCCCAGAGCTGGCTCCTTCTGTGAGATGAGAGGCAAGTCTCAAACCTTCTCCGTAAGATGAGGGGCGGTCCTGTGCCCTGTAGGACCCCTTCCAGCTCTGTCATTCTCAGCGATTTCCTTACCACATGCTCCAGCACACGAGGACTCGGACAACTCTGTAACAGGATGCCAGGGAGGTATATTTCTTGATCTGCAGCATACCTGGTAATGGCAAAGGAAATAAAGAAGAAAAGGAACACGAGCAGTTCTGCATAAATGGGAAACCCTTTAATTTGACAATCAGGCATTCAACAGACATTTATTTACTGAGCATCCCGTCTGAATAAGGCATACAGAGTTCCATATTTTCTTAAAAAAATTTTTTTAAGCAAATCTGAGAAGTTCTCTGCAAGTTATGTCTGAAGATTTACAGCAGCTAACTTTCAATTCCACCAGCAAAGCCCCTCGCTGCCTCCACACAGGACGGATGGGTCTCCGCCAGCTCTCTCTCTCCAGGTGGTGCTGACACAGCACATATCTGAATGTTCCTCTCGGTGGGAAACAGAGATGAAAATTCTATACTTATCTCTCAACCTGCTACTATGACTTTCTTCACAGCCTTGGTGTTTCAAGGATTTAAAGTTAACTCTTCTCTTAGAGAACAGATGCGAGCAAGTAAACTCAAAACTGCAACGCCCTGTTCTCTTGCTGTAGCCGGGTTCTCGTCTCTGTAACTGCTGCCCACTGCCCTCTGTAACTGCTGGCTGCCGGTGCACCCCGTGCTGTGGAGAGGGATGTGTCAACTCCCTTGGTTACATCTTCAAAAAGGCCACCTGGAAAAGGAAGAAAAACCCACAGTGCTTTCCTTATATAACGTGATGAAATTGCTGAGTGCACATCAAACCTGGATCAGGTAAGTCTGGTCAGTAAGGATGCTCGCTGTTCTACAAAGAAAAATGACTCCTGGTTGGGCCAGACACTGCTATTTTACAGAGGGAGCCAATTAGTCCGTTCATAAATAAACCATACAGTAATTAAAGTAACTCACGTGTACTTTAAAAAATTAAGTATAAATTGACACTAACATTGTACTGCCATGAAGTAATCCAGTTCTCGTTCCCACTGGTTCAAACAGCTGCTGTGGATCTTCTGTGAACAGAGTTCCAAATCCTGAAGACTTCTGGACAATTCCAGATTCTTGTCATGATTGTTAATTATATTAATCTCTTTTCCGGTCATGACAATGCTTTTAACCACATTCGACTATATGCATGGGCTTGTCAGCACAAGTTATCTTAAAATTCAGTTGTTTCAAAAAATTTAATTCATATAGATACAAAATCATTTCAGACTATTTAATAAGGCCCAGATCAAATGCATCAAATTTCTCAATAGTTTTGGATAACTACGAAACAAACATAATAAAGTCAACCATAAATGCTCTGAAAGTTCTAGTTCAGGGCTGACAATAAATTGTGGACAGTGCCAGCATCTGGAAAAGAGCAGCATGCAGTCAGAGATAAAGATGTGGAAGTTTGTCCTAGGCCATTTTTTGGGGGAAAGAGTGAGCAACTGAAGTGAAAATATTCCACTCTTGGACAGCTGGTACTTAAGTCCCCAAACACAGTCGAAGGAGGCATGTATTTAATGAGCCCTGTTAAGGGGAAAGGAAAAGGAAAGAGTCGTGCAAGGGCAGAAGGCATCTGCTTTATGTCAAGTGATCCAGAAGGATGTTACTCTTCATACGATGCTGGTGAGAAAAGCCCCTGCTGCGTTTCCGTATCAACTTCCAGCTGAGTTTCTCTATCAAGTTCTGCAGTGAGAACAAAGTTGAAGGAGCAAGCAAAGAAGAGAGGTTAAGATTCTTAAGCAAAATATAAACATGGGGTAGGGAGGAGACAGATAGGACATGAGCTCACCTCTTCTTATGGAAAATGTAAATGTGGACAACTGGTGCAAACCTCAAGGACTTAAGAGTCAAGAGTCTGTGATGATAGTTATGAAGACACTTGTGTTTCTCTCCCTGGCCTCTCAGCTGGTAACAGATATTAGAAGGCCATGAATATTCAGATGAGAAGGGGCTGCTGAAGAGAGACCAGCTGGGCCCTTTAGGGGATGATCAGAGATTCCCAGGAAGGGGTTCCAGGGGTTACTGAGTCTGACTTCTGGCTCACTGTGGTCAGTATCTCTGTTGGGAGACTCTGCTTCTTCAACAACAGTTCATAGGGACCTTCCCAAGAAGCCAACGCCACTGCTGATACTCAGAGACACAAAGATGACAGATGAAAGCCATTTATCCCTTTTTGAATTCTGAAAGCTGCTACATCGGAGTATTCCAACCAGGAACTACTTAGATAGAATAACTGATGGTGACAAATGTTGTCATAAAAATGGTTAAGAACTTTCGCCCTCTACTTGGGACAATTTTGCCCACCAGGGTACATGTGGTAGTGTCTGAGGATTTCTTTTTTTTTTTGTCATGGCATGCAGAATCTTAGTTCTGGGACCAGAGATAGAACCCATGAACTCTGCAGTGGAAGCAGAGTCCAACTGCTGGACCACCAGGGAAGTCCCTGGAGATATTTTTGGCTGTCACAGCTTGGGGGATGCTAAAGGCATCCCGTGGGTAGAGAGGGAGGGATATTCTGATAATGCACAGGACCGCTCCCCATAAGAAAGAATAATCAGCCTGAAAGCATTAACAGTGCCAGTGTTGAAAAATGTTGAAGTTTAGAGTTAAATCTCTCCGTGACCTTAAACAAGAAGTTTAGAGTTAGATCTCTCTGTGACCTTCAACAAGCTCATTAAACTCTATAACAGGACCTACCAGAAACTTGTAAAACACTTTCCTATTTCGATTCTTTTCATCCTCAGCTGTCTTATGAGAAGAAACAGAAGCTCAGAAAACCTAAGTGACTTGCTCAGGATAAAAAGTAGTAGTGATGGGTTTAGGAAGAAACTCTGATTTCTAATCCATGCTTTCCCCACTGTAAGTTTACAGATAGATGATCAAGATAAAACTGCACAGGTTGGGGGACTTTTAGTCTTCAAATTGTCTCATATATCAAAGAGTTACTTTCTTTTGCATGCTTGTGAACACGATGCAAGATGGAGAAAACTACATAAGAGGCTGCGCTCATTAAAACAAACAATGCAAAATGGAGCCCCTCAGTCAAAAAAGAAAAAAATTTTAATTTGACCTACCATGTCTTTTTATTTTTTCTTATTTGTTTTTATAGTGCCGCCTGCCAAGGACACTATGTGTTTCTCAGGACTTAATAACAAGAAACTGCAATCATCCTTGGGAACAGGTACTGTACAATGTAGTTTAGCTTCTTTTTATTTAAAACATTTTGAGATAACATATTTCAAATGCAGATTTTGTATTCCCTAGCTTTTATCCGTGACAGGAAAAATTGCTTTCCCTACCTGCCATTTATTTTAAGAGAGGGTAATTTTATTTTGTTCCATTACACTGAGAAAAATCTCTGTATTTCATCTTTTTAGTTTTATTCCCCAAAGTAAAAAGTTTTAAAGCTTTGCAGAGTCTCTGAGCACAGCTACAGCTTCGGGCCCCACTGTCGCATGTCTAGAATATCTAGTCACAAAGTATAAGTGATGATTAGAAGCGAGGGAGATAGGGCTCTTTGCGGCTGGCTGTAAGGTCTCACCCTCTTCGTTTTCTCCTCCTGAAAGTGGACACTTGGGAATGGAACAGGGGAGAGAGAGGGAAGCTGTCTAAAAATACGGTCTCTGCTTTGCGTCACCATCTAAAAACAATCTTAAGCCACCATAAGCAGGGCCAGGCTGCAGTAATAGCTGACCAAATGTTCAGTTTATAATGCTTCTGTACAATTGCGTAAATATGCTAAACACTTTTGAATGCTCTTTTTGTCTTAGTTAACAAAATTATACTATGAAATTCTATTCCTCAGCCATAGAGCTGGAATTTCAATCAATAGAAAGACATGCTGTCAAGGCAGCCTGCACAAGATAAAATTAACATTTTAAAAAATGCTACATAAATGCTTTGAGGTGCACAAAACAAGACAGATAAAACTGTAAAATACTGGAAAATGTGAGTTTCATAGTAATTGTGAGCTTCAGAAAAGACTCTTCAGAATAAGTAGCACAGCTACACACAAACATTCCTTTTAAAGAGTACTGTAGACTTAAAAAATAAATATAAAAAACTATGCCTTAAATATATTTTTTGTCTAGGTATGGTTCATGTTCAAAATTATGTTCTGAAATAAATGTTATGACATGGAAACAAACTTTACTTTAATATTATAAAATCCAGTTTCTAGGCTCAAGCTTCATTTACAAAATAAAATATACAATATAAATGTAAATATAAAAATAATGAAAGAAAATGGCTTTTTCAATCACATTATTTTGAGTCTTAAATAACAACAGGGTACAAAATGTTTCCTAACTTGCTAATTTAGCATCGATCAGGCCTGTGTTGATGACATGTGGACTCCACTCTGCACTGAATAAATAATATGAGATTTTCCTCTACTGGGCTGGTAAGCTGACTTCATTCACTCAATTCATTCAATGATTAAATACCATCTATAAGTCTGTGACTGTCCAGTCAGAAAACAACTGAGAAGGCATTCCCTCGTGGCACTAACATGTGAATGGCGGAGATAGTCAAGTAATGAGATGATTCTAATAGGTTGGGATAAGTCTAGGATGGACGTCTAACACCTGATGACAGAAAAAAGACCATTCTTGGGTTATGAAAGGAAGTAAGATTTCTCAAGCAGTAGCCTGAATGATGTAGTTATTACTCTAATTAGGAAAACTTGTGTGGTAATAAAGCCTGGCATGGCACAGAGTGGGATATACCTTTTTTCCCACTAAAAGCAGCTGGCTTTGCTAAATGAACTACTAGCAAACAGGAAGGATGAAACAAAGGACCAAAGATGTGAGAAGCAATACAATAAGAAAGAGGATCCTATCCCTCTAAAATGACAATAAGTATGTGTACACTGAATGTGGACAGGAATACTAGACCAAGGAAACATCAGTGAGGCCTTCCAACTCAAATTCTGTAAGAGCCTTTAGAAAGTAGGAAAAAAGCAAGTAAAACCAGTGTCCTTAATGTCACTTAAACCTTTACCTTGTATTTTAAATAAAATCATATTTTATTTAGGCCATGGTACACTAGGAAAACAATACAACGAGAAAGACTAAAGATCTCTTCAAGAAAATTAGAGATATCAAGGGAAACTTTCATGTAAGAATGGGCACAATAAAGGACAGAAATGCTAAGGACCCAGCAGAAGCAGAAGAAAGTAAGAAGAGTGGCAAGAATACACAGAAGAACTATACAAAAAGATCTTCATGACCAGGATAACCACAATGGTGTGATCACTCACCTAGAGCCAGACATCCTGGAGTGCGAAGCCAAGTGGGCCTTAGGAAGCATCACTATCAACTAAGCTAGTGGAGGTGATGGAATTTCAGCAGAGCTATTTAAAATCCTAAAAGATGATGCTGTTACAGTGCTGCACTCAATATGCTAGTAAATTTGGAAAACTCAGCAGTGGCCACAGGACTGGAAAAGGTCAATTTTCATTCCAATCCCAAAGAAGGGCAATGCCAAAGAATGCTCAAATTGCCACACAATTGCACTCATTTCACATGCCAGCATGGCAATGCTCAAAATCCTTCAAGCTAGGCTTCAACAGTACATGAATGAAGAACTCCCAGATGTACCAGCTGGGTTTAGAAAAGGTAGAAGAACCAGAGATCACATTGCCAACATCTGTTGGATCACAGAAAAGGCAACAGAATTCCAGAAAAACATCTACTTTTCACT